GATAACAAGATGTCCATTGGACCTGTATCGCTCACCTGGTTTTATATATAAGTCATTACAACTGAATGCATTAGTACAACTTTATATGAAATTTCCTTAAAACCAGACACGATCTATGTTCTAACACAACTGGGACCACAATATCTGACTTTCAACAGATTTTGAAATAAGTAATATGTCATATTACAGGGTGTAATGTGTAATTAGACAATACTTTAATTTTTATTCAACTATAAGCTTTTATAAACCTAGAAACCAATTTTTTTACAATTTATGAAAACTTCATCATATAGTCTATAGAATTTGATAATCTAGCTGTACCATTTCTTAGGACCGCAGGGGTCAAATCAACTTCATTCAATTAAGAAAGGTTTTCTTCCTCAATAATGTTTTTGATCTAATTTTGTACAATAAACTCAGACAATTAGGGCGTATTAGCGTCTTAAAGCAAAATATTAGATAATTTTACTCTTTGGGGCCCGGCCTTCCTAGCCCCAGGGATCTAACCAGCCTCATTTATTTAGGAAATGATTGCCCTCCACCAATGAAGTTTCAGAGCAAATTTGGATGAAATATTCTGCGGCGTTTAGGAGGAGATGCGTTTTAAAGCAAATTTAGCTAATTTTCCCTTCCGGGCCCCGTCCCTTGGCCTGAGGGGTCGAACCAACTTCAATTATTTAAGAAATGAATGCCCTCCCCTAGTGATGCTTCAGACTAAATTTGGTTGAAATCCCCTCTGACGTAAAGAGATGCGTTTTAAAGCAAAACTAGCTAAGTCCCCCTTAAGGGCCCTGGCCTCGGGGGTCGAACCAACCTCATTTATTTAAGAAATGATTGCCCTCACGGCATAATCTCACTATGGTCCTTCGGACCAGGTGAGCTAATAATACCAGAATGGTGCACTAATTATGTTTTTTGTAATGCTTATTATTATTTCTCGCAACTACGTTATTTCGGAGAAGGGGAGGTAACTCTTCTCGATGCAGTTCATAGTAATATGAAGTGATTATTGAGTATGAATCAGCTGACTGGTTGCATATATGAACAGAACAAACATCAAGAATGTAATTATATATTAATTAGCCGTAAACAACCAATCAAAAGACAAACATAGCTTTGATTTCAGTTTGGTTGGGTTTAGCGTACATGCAAGTCCATGTGAGTTTGAGTTGGAATGTGAATTTGCCTCCTTCCTAAAGTCCGGATCTGATGCCGAATTTTTATTAGTGTTTCCTTGCTGAAACACCATGCCGAAAGCACCTTGAACAGTGTTCCAACCAGTCGCATTATAATGAAAATGGGTTAACCAGTTGTTATGATTAATGGCACGTTCAGCATTTAGGGGAATGGCAACAACTGGTTCACCTGGCATTTCAATGAGATAGCACTATAAAGTCGGCATCAGATCCGCGCTCTCACAAGGAGGCAAGAACAAGAACAAACATACCCTGTCTTCTACAAACACACACGCAAGCACGCACGCATACACTACACACATGGAGGTACGTTCTTAAATGACCTTAGCTGTTAACAGGACGTCAAACAAAAGTACACCAAATTAAACCAAACCATGATTAATGCTGAATGTTAAGCAGTTAAAACAAAATCCTTTTTAAGGACATTGGTAGGCCCCGGCCCGGGGGAAAAACCATATTACCTTCCCCTCTTACTCTTATTGGCAATAATGACATTTTTGCTTTGATGGTCCGTTAAGAATCAATATCAATCAACACCAATGCCAAAATGATAATTGCCAACCAAGGCGCTAGGAATAAAAAGGGATTGGAGGACCAACCTAAATGCATAGCATGGTACGAACCATTTACAGTAAAACACTTGTATAGATTTCATTGGCTTTCAGTCAGCAAGAGAATTTACTTAAAAAAGTTGAATTGTTCAAAACGATATAGTTAACCATAACAACTTTTGCCTTTCAATTAAATGTTTAATTTTTTTTTTTTTATCTTTCATTGGTTCTAACAACTTCTGGTGTTGATGAACCGTTAAGAAGGCAGTAATGATAATAATAGGAAGTTAAGAGAAAATATAGGTCCTAGCTGTTATCCGTTTTATTTTGGTCGTATTGTGTCGCATTGTAGTGATCCCCGAAGCCAACATACGATTATGCATGAAGTTCTAACATTATTTTCTTATTACTACATGCAGTAGGTAACTGAAGGTATACGATACACGATTTAGGGATATTGACGACATAGGTAATACATTTAGACATATTATAGATTTTATAACCTGATAATAGACCAAATATTTGGATTGGTCATTTTTGCCATTGTCTCTGAGAGTCTATTTATAAAAATAACCCTTTGTTTGCTTTATTATGTTAATCAAACAAATTCAAATATCTCTTCTAGGAAAGTTGCATTCTATATCTATAAACTGCTCCTGACTAGATTAAACGTTCAAAACGTAATGGCTTAACGACCGTTTGACACGAAACCGCAATACTAATAAAGAACAATATTATTTCTATGTGATGGTGATGGGTTATTGGATTTTACTGACCGCTGAAGTCAATCTAGAGATAAATGCATGCGTACTCTTTAGTGTGAAAACAGTGATCTGGAAAATGATAATAACCTTACAATTAGCTGAGTTTCCGAGACTATACCAGTTATGGATCCTGTTATAGGTGCGTCATCACAAATGGATTTGCTTCGTCAGCTTTATTGGCTTAAACCAAACAACTATAGAGCGCACTTTTCCCGTCACGCTATCCACTGTCAGCCTTTGGCTATATTTGAGATCACTAAAGTATTAAGTCGTGTTCTAACAGATATGACAATACAAAGCTAACGCCGTTTATCACTCAGGTTTTGTTCCGGCGGGGGCGTATTGACGGAGTCCCTTCAACTGGATCAGGTTTTGATTTTGTTCACAACATTCCAGAAACGCTTATCTTTAGAGATACTGAACTAACAGATTCTGCACCTGGATATCTGACCGTTTCCTGTGAGCTAGACACGAAATTATACTTGAGAATTCGTGACAACAATTAAAATGATTTTCAAGCAATTGATGGAAACAGTTGTAATATATCTTATTACTTTTTCGCTTATTGCTGTTCATTGTGAGGCATCCAACTCGACCCACAGGAGCATTCTCCGTGACAGTCTCCTAGAAGGATATAACCGGAAAATTTATCCCGATGGACCAGATAATGAACCCGTTCAGGTAAGGCGATGAAATCAAAACATAGGGCACAGATACCTTATGCAGTTAATGTAAAAATTAAAGAAATTGTTTCGACCTTCAGCCAACCCGGGGGAATTGAAAAACAACAAACACAGCATTACAAGTGCAGATATTTAACTATTTGAGTAAATAATTGTATAGGTTATTTCGTTCAGTCTGCATTTTTCACATCGCATATATATATTTAAGTCATTCGTAAGGAACCCTGTAATGAAATCAATTGGAAAACAACAAAAACAGCGTTACAAATGCAGATATTTAACTATTTTAATAAATAACTGTATAGGTTATTTCGTTCAGTCTGCATTTTGACACGGTGCACATGACGTTTTTGGACTACATAATATGTGAAAGAATATGTCTTGAAACACAATAGATTCAACTTTCGAAAAAAAAGAGAATTCATGTGTCAGATATCGATGTTTAAACACGCACTGTCGATTGGTTTCTAAACAGGTATTACATGTGTAAAATGGAAACTGATACGAAAAAACTTTCAACAATTATTTACTTAACGAACTTGATATTGAAACAACTTCAAACGTTCAGACTGGGAAGCTAGATATTAACAATGATCCAGTTTGGGAGACTCCCTATGACCAGTGGTCAGTTTGAATCGAATTGGCAAACATTTTTTTTCTTTCCATGTTTATGCACCAAGATAAACATTTTTAATGTAAATGATATTATGATATTTTTAAGCAACGTGGATGCTACCAATGTCAGCCTTTAGCGGACAAACTTTCAAAAAAGGAGAGACAATATCCAGTCGAAATCGTTTTATCGCTGCTTCAGTAAGAACAGTTTTATCGTTATTGAAATGTTTGTATATCAATTTCTGGAACAAGTTTTAGCTCCTGAGCTTATGTCGAAGCTCCATGTCTGTCGTCCGACCGTCCGTCAACTTTCGTTTAAAATGCTACTAGTCCTGAACAGCTTTATGGATTTTGTCCAAAGTTGGCCTAAAGCATTATTGGGCAAAGGGGACTAAAATGTATATAAACAGTGGATGTGGTTCCTCCGAGTGCAGAGGGGCGGGGCCCAATAGGGTAAATCGAGTTTTAGGTCTTCAAAATCCTTCTTCCTCAGTATTTTTGGAGGGATTTTAACCAAATTTGGGCTGGAGCATCCCGCGGTAATGGGGACTAAATTTTGTGTAAACGGAAGGTGTAACCCCTCTTGCTGTAGGGGTGGGGCCCTTCTATTTCTGTACTGTTGGAGGTATCAAAATTTGGCCTTGAGCTTCCCCTTGAAGTCGGAGATCGAAAAAAGAATACACCTGCTATTGCCCACTGCATGTGATATTGCCCACTGCATGTGTATTGTAAGAGCGAATCCCCTGCAGAATTTTGTATTCGCTTTTGTGCCCTCTTCCTTTCTACTTCGACATTATGTCATTTCCTTACGCCTTACTTGGCAACATCTCACGTTTAATGGGTTCCTATCCCAGGCCGGGAAATACGAAAGTTTTAAAAATGGTAGTTGTTATTCCCTGCTTAACGTTCAGCCTTATGGGAAACGAGAACAACTGGTTGACCCATTGTCAGTATAATGTGACCGGGTAGATTCCTTGTGTTGTGAGATAGCACTATAAAGTGCACATCAGATCCACTCTATCACAAGGAGGCAAGTACACCAAGATTCGCTGTCTCCAGCACACATGCACACATTGAGGCACGTCCTTAAATTACCGTAGCTGTTGATATGGCGTTAAACTATATAACCCTTTAAACCAACTTAAAGTAATTCGTCTGTCTCACTTTCAGATATCGGTTTACTTCAGCCTGATGACTTTGAAGGAATTTGACGTCCAGATGAGCCGATTTGCTGTGTCCGGCTTCCTTACCTCCTCATGGACTGATCGACGACTGGAATGGTTGCCTTCGGATCATAACGGGATCTCGTCACTCCAGCTGTACCAAGGCGATATTTGGACTCCGGGGTTTGTTTTATGGAACTCTGACACGTCATTGACTTCTATGGGGTACGACAATACACCTGTGAGAGCATATTCTAACGGCTTGATTGTTTGGAGTCCAGGACAGGTGTTTGTAACGTCATGTGATGCTGACGTCACATATTTTCCCTTCGACATACAGCGTTGTGCAATGGATTTTACACCACACGGCTACAAAATGGATGAAATTAACATGACTATTGATGAAACCTTCCCTTCTAAGGGCGAATCGACCTTAAATACCATGTGGGAAGTACGACAAACGAAGATGTTTTTAACGGATATGAATAATGAACTAATGCTACATGTCTCTGTTACATTTAGTCGGCGTGGACTTATCTTTGTCCTAATTCTCATACTGCCGGTAGTTTTAATGAGCCTCGTGAATCTTGCAGTATTCTTCATCCCAGTAGAGGAAGGAAACAGAGTCGACTTCTCAACAACCATGCTGCTAACCATATCGGTTGCTATGACAGTAGTAGGCGGCTACCTTCCAGAATCTTCTTTACCCCAAATTTCCCTCATGTGTTACATGGTATCTATCCACGTTTTCATCAGCATGCTAGTGATGGTATTTACGGTTAAAAGTGTTCAGATTTATCACAGAACCGAAACAGATGAAATGTCAACTATGTCTAAATTCTTAACAAAAGTTCTGCTGGGTAAACGACGAGAAAAAATTGGAATCAAAACTCCAAACAAAGAGGATATCACGGAAGTTAAAGAATTTGAGCGACCGAAATGGATTATAAGTTCACCAGATGATATCGGAAAAGATGAGGTGAAAATAGATAATCGGGCGGAAGATGATACTAATCAAATAAATGACGTGAGTGTAACTTGGAAAGACGTTGGGTCGACATTTGACAGACTTTCTTTCATCTTCTTCATTTTACTGATCGGTATTCTAGATTTAGTTACTATTTCTATGGTATTTTTGAAGGGTGGAAAAACACCTCTTTAGAAAAAAATGTGGTGTAAAACGAATCTTTAACAATAATTGACGTGGTGCAGAAACCATACTTTGGTATCCAGCCAAGATCAAATATTAATTCGTTTTCGTTCATTTCGGAGTTACTTATAATCAAACTGAGGAATCGAGAGCACGACGTCAATATGGGGATAAGTATTACCCTTCAAGCGCCGATGCATCATCGTAACCTCGCCATTGTTCTCTCGTTTTTACACACAGCTTGATGAGAAAACAATGCATGAACTGTCAACCACGGCATGATCGTAAGAAGAGACTTTAGTGGACCACCTGCCAAAACGGGGATTATCTTGTGTACTGATTACTTGAGGCAGGCCTGTTTACTTCATTTAACGGAAATACTACGTGTGTGCCCCAATGGTAGTTTCTACTCCTGCTTACCGCTCAGCAAATTAGGAGTGGGACGACTGGTTCGCCCGTTGTCAGTATAATGTGACCGGGTGGGGCGTCCTGCTGGGTTTCTTCGGCAGTATGTCTCAGTGAGGTAGCACTATAAAGTCGGCATCAGTTCCGCGCTATCACAAGGAGACAAACACGAACATATCGCAGCCTCCCAAAATACACACACATACACTACACGCATGCATCTTATACACAGGGGAGGCTGTCCTTAAATGACATTAGCTGTTAATAGGACGTTAAACAAAATCAAACAAACAAACAAACAAGTGCCCCAAACACTACGGTATTACTCATCTGATGAAAATATGCGTGGTATTTGTAGTTCGAACACATCCACGAGTTGTCCCTTCTATATCAACGCAACCAAAATCAGGAATCTCGTTACCGGAAATGGGAAATGAATAGAAGTATGGAAAACGTTTTGGTATGCCGAAGCAGAAAAAATGATGACGATGGCGACAATAATGATGGAACATATGCTAAAATGCTATCAAACTTTCAAAACGGTTTGAACCAATGAATGGAGTTGCCACAAACAATCCTATCAGGAAAAAAATGAGTTCTTTGCACAACTTTTAACATTCATGCAACCGTAGCGGAATATTTAATTGTCAAGGACACGCCGACTCAAAAAACCATCAGGTTGACATAATTTTGTAAGATTTTGAAATAAAAGTGAAAGCTATTTTGTGAGTTTTATTTGTTTGTGTCCCTAGTACATGTCCGTTCTTCTGCACATCAACCCTGCATGTCATTTAAGGACGTGCATGTACCCCTTTGTGCAATGAAAGCGTTGATGCTGCTGGAAGTATGCAGGTGTATTTGTCTCCTTGCCAAAGCGCGAATTTAAAAGGCAAAACATCTTCTGAGCAGCTGAGAAGACGGATGCCTTGGGATATACAGTTTGTTAGTTTGTTAGTTTGTTTAAGACTTAACGACACAATAACACAACATTTTAAAATAAAACTCCGTGATAAGTTTGGCTTGGTGTTATATTTACAATGGGGGTATATATTTACAATGGTGATATTTAAGGATGTGCATCCATGTGTGTTATGTATGCATGCATGAGTTTAGATGCACTGACGGCAGGGTATGTTTGTGTAATTGACTCCTTGCGCGGATTTGACACCAATTTTATAGTGCTGAAATACAACTACAATAACGAACGCACCTAGCATAGTATTCCACCCGTCCACATTACACTGACAACGGGTGAACCAGTTGTTGCCATTATCCTAAATGCTGAACGTTAGGCAAGAAATTACAACTACCAGTTTTAGGACTTGAGTATGTCCCGGCCTGGGGACGGAACCAATTGCCTTCCTGAAGGCAACGTGGTCCATCCCCAGGCCGGGACATACCGAAGTCCTTTAAAGTGGTAGTTGTTATGCCCGGCTTGATATTGAGCATTTGGGGTAAAAACAACAACTGGTTTCGCCCGTTATCAGTATATTGTGGCCGGATGGAATGCTGTGTTGGGTGCCTTCCACATGCTATTCCAGTGAGTGGCAGATCCGCGCTATCACAAGGAAGCAAATGTACCATCATACCCCGTCTCCGGCACACATAAACACATGCAGACCTACACAACACACATGGAGGCACGTCCTGAGATGACCTTAGCCTTAATAGGATCAAACTTAAACCCAACCCTCATCTGGACGAACTTTCAGCGTTAAAGCCAAGAGTGCGGTGTTGACAAGTAATGTATTAAGAAATAGAAAGAAATACAGAGATCGTGGTTACAAAATTAAGGCTACACTGATCAAGTATATTTGTAAGCATGGTTTTTAATCAATGTGCAATATTGAAAGGCTGGGACACTTCATTTGGCAAAGAGAATGATAACATAAACTATGGTTTTAATGTCCCGGTAACAGCTGAGGCCATAATTAATTGTACAGACTGTCAATTATATAAAGAGCCAGAAACGTACCTATTTGCCGGCGTTTTATTAGATCGATTTAACACTTACGGTAAACTAACTAATACAATCCAAAATAAAAATAAAAACATATCTGGAATATAATTATCAATCCATACACCGTTACAGAAATATATAAAAGAATCATTATTTATATTATCAAGGACCAGTTTAATATTTATAACGGTATAGATACCTGTCCATGATATGATGCTTGCTTCTTGAGTGGTTGGTTCATTCTGTTCTAAGCAATGTAAAACATGCACGTTTCAACGCGATCACATGACGGGTGTTGGGTAAATGAGTGGGAAATCTGTATAGTTTTATTTTTATAATATCAGTGAAAATATCATTTATATATTTCATATACGACATTAGAAGCTTCAAAATCAACATGATGTTACTATACAAAAATGAGGAACGTACGACTCAAACATGTGATTGCACCTATACAAATTGTTCATATATACAGCATGTCAAAGATGAATAACACTTCACCATACAGCTGCTTCGTCCTTCTAGGTCTAATCGGTATTCAATGTGGAACATGTCATTGTCATGTTTGATCTGAAACAGGTTCATGATATACATTTTTCTTTGCAAAACATCTGATAGTCCCTTCGTAAAATTCTCCATTATTAAGTACATAGCATTTACACGTTTTGTACAATTTTGATATACACATTTTGCAAATTTTAACTTTTAAGAATCTCTTGATGTGTGTAAAACAAAAGAGTTCCTTTTGATGCTTTATGCCTAAACAGTCCTTCTTATGTCGAGGGGCCGTTAAGCATTGACTTAAAAGGCAGACCAGGGGCCAAAAGGGTGGACATCCAAATTTATTTAGACCACTATTTATACAAAAGAGTAGAAGGGAGTTAAGCCCCTTAATATGAGTTGGGGGAGTGCTGGTTGATTTAAAATTAATACAAATAAAATATGTATATTATGAAACCTTCCACCATCCAAACGACGTAATTGTGGCAATCAAGGTTACGACGTAACTCAAGGACTAAGGAATCAAGCAGCAGAATATCCATATAATACCTGAATACCTTGCAATGTATGAAGCAAACCTGACATCCTGACTTTGATAGTCACCAGCGATAGTAACTTTATTTGTATTATCATGTCTAAACTACTGAACTCAGGGTATGTTGGTTGCGACAAAGAAAACCAGATTGGCAATAATAACTTCCAGTAAAAAGAAGAAAATGCAAAGGTAATCAAATAATTTTGAAATGGACTTAAACTGAGTCTCCATCAAGTGTTCATTCCTGTTAGAGTCATTGTCATTACCACTGTCGGGTGATTCTAATTTGGAGTCCGGATTTGGTAGTTGAGGCTTTCCACTTTCAGGTACGGTTACAAAGCACATGAAAGGTTTCAGAACTGAAGTCATTATTTGAAGGCAGAGCGTGCTGTGTGAACCTAGGCAAAGACTAACGACTGCACACGCAACCATCAACGAACTTGACATCATTTGAACCAGAACCAGTACAGAAAGGTAAGAAATGTCCGGAAGTGACGCACTCGGAAGTGTATCGGTCACCACGGTGAGGAAAACTGACAACGTCAACAGCATTGTCACTGCATAGTCTATTCGGTTGCTTCCATCTACTGGAATGATAAATATGAGAATATTTAAAATACTCATTACCAACATCGGTACCAGAATATGGATGACATGGTAACTGGATCTTCTGTTAAACTTTATCTCTATCATAAGTTTCTTTTCGGCCCTTGAATTTCGTTGAACTCCTGAAATATCTGTCGAGATTATATTCCACAATCCGTTTTTGTTGTAATCAGATAGATCAAATCCCGCAGCTGTTATGTTAATTTCATCTTCCATATAACCATATGGTAAAATATCTATCGTGCATGTTTGCTCGTCGAAAGGAAATTTTTTAATCTGAGCATCACAACTTGTCTGAAACAGGTTTCCTGGTTCCCACAGGGCATCTCCAGAATGGTTATATCGCACTGGTAATGTATCGAATCCGAACGGACGAACCCTGTCGTAGGTATTCCACACAACAATGTTTGGAATCCACACCCTGCTCTGAGGGAACAAGATCGAGGAAATCTGACCAAAGTCGTTAGGGTCCCATGCTATTCGTTCGTCCCTCCATTCTACGATAAGAAATCCGGTAACTGCAAAACGACCCGCGTTTTCGTCAAAGTCATTGAAGGCGGCCAAGCTGAATTGGATACTGACCTACAGTGAAAAACAAAAATAGAATTATTCTATTTTATTTTATTTTGATATTTAATCCAAATTTCAATTCATAGATGAATCAATGCGTAGATAACAAATTACATTATAATAACCCTGAAATCGGTGAATGGCATTATAGCTACAGATAACAGATAGAGGCGCCGAGACGAGGTTGTCCTTGCCCGTCTCCGGATGGGTCATTCATACATTACTCATTGTTATTTACTTCAAGTCAACTCGAGAAAATTTCTCTAATAAAATTACATGTCTTTAATTTAATGTCTTTTCGAAAACATAACTATCTCTTCAATTTTAGGCTATCTGAAAGGTGTTTTTGATATAATTTGAGTCATCATAGCCACTTTCAATATTCAAATTGACGTTTGTCTTTTAACCTTTAAGTTTGTTTGATGTTTTTATTTTGCATTGTTTTTTCCGACCATTTGTTGGCCCTTATGACCTATCCTGTGTTGATGGGCCGTTAAGCATTTAATAATAGCTATTATTTTGAGTAACGTCCTATTAACAGCTACAGTCATTTGAGGACGTGTGTTGTGAAAGCGTGCATGGGTGTACGTGTGCCGGAGACACATATGTGATTGAACATTTGAAAGTCGGTAATAGATAAAGTATGCCAAAAGTGAGTTCCACTGCATCATACAGCTGTTTCATTGCACTTAAAAAATTGACAATAGATCCACAGTCATGTCCATGAGGTATTTGCGAGGACGCTAAGCTCTGAGTACACCAAAGGAGAATCACTCCCATGGCAGTTTTGGACCATGCATATCAGTTATAGCATCCAGTTATTCATCTTGCACCTCAATTATATTTTTGGAGTCAACACAAACAGCATCCAAGCGTTAAGTGAAACATCATAGATACAGCACCGCTCAAATGATGTAAACTGCGTTAAGCAGGCGATGTGTTCCCAATTATAGATAAACGTATATTACAGCGGCTAACAGCCACGGGAAGCAAAGCAGCCTAAAGGAAATTTCTATGTTATCAAAAACAACCATCCAAAATGATTTCAAAAAAAATAAAGGTATGCAATCCACATACCAGATGTCTGGGATGCCTATATACGTATTTTTGTATCGCCGGTAATATCATATTCTTAAACTAAATAATAACTTTATATACTGATTGCAAAATATTGTTACCCATTACACTCATTCACATGAGGTGACTTGTATGTTAGATCTTTATTCTGCATTTCTCTTTTCTATATATATTCTAATTCTGTCTCGTTTGTTTTGTCTACCATTTACCTATTTCTGTAAATCAATCACCTCATTGAGATTTGTTATTCTATTTATGAGTCATATTTAACTAACATTCTGGTTCAATGTTGAGCTCGAGCAAATGTTTCAATAATTAATCCCATTACGCAAGATAGATGCACGTTTGTGCAGACTTGAAGCGTAATACCATTCTTTAATCTTTCGGCTTTACGTAACCATATGTCGGATTTGTTTTCGCATATGTTCATCTCATTATAACGTTGATGATCCGATTAAAATGATATTAGTTGCTAATAAGATATATATTTTGGCACCCTCTCAGCCAAAAAATTGCTGAGCCAAATTCTTTTCCGTTTTAAACATTTTTTAAACCGTTTTTGAATGCGGTGATTACAATTGCCGTTGAAGAACTTAAGATAAAACCAATTAACACATGTTTGGTTGGAGATCATTCTATGCGTATTGGAGGAAATAAATTTCCCGTGTCCATCTCGATGGCCAAAAGTACAAGGATCATGCTGTTAATCATATAATTCAGAAACCTGTCTATCCTGGCGCTTCCGACCCACAAAAGCCTTTTGAGTTGATTGGACCTATCCTGATATTTAGCAAGTAACATTGAACGTTTAAGCGGTTTAAATCAACTAACTCTCGGACAAAATACCACCCGTGCCATTTTTTTGGGTAAAACTATAATTGGTTTGGTTTAATTGTGTTTAACAGCTAGGGTCATTTAAGGACGTGCCTTCATGTGTGTAGTGTATGCGTGCTTGCGTGTGTGTATGCAGGTGACAGGTTATGTTGGAGTGCTTGCCTAATTGTGATAGCGCGGATCTGATGCCGACTTTAAAATGCTATCTCACTGAACTTTAAGACTAGGTTAAAATGACACCCTCCAATAGAGTTGCTTTTTATCCAGAGTCTGATTTTACTCTACATATCAGTATAGGTCCTAAATTAACAACCAACTGTAACAAATTGTTGGGTCCCGATGTTCCGATTGTGTTTTAGTGTGTATCCATTTATGTCGCTACTTAGTGTCTAGTCACTAGTGAGATACAGAGTAGAGGCATGGTATTTCAGTGAGATATCACTATAAAGTCGACATTAGATCCGCGCTTTCAAGTGGCAAGTACACCATCATACCATGTATCCAGCACACATAAACGCATCCATGCTTACACAACATACATGGAGGCACACCCTTAAATGACCTTAGCTGGTAATAGGACGTTAAACAAAATAAAACCAAACTAAACTCTTCAGCTCATTCAGAATACGGATCTAGTAATATATAGCTGCGGGTTGGTAGCGAGAGAAATTAAGCGGCTACATTCGGTTTTAATCGAGGCCCAAGTCTTCTTTGAAGGGAAATATCGGTCTCAATGTTTTTAGCCACGGCACGGCAATGAGTAAAGTATCTGTGAGCAAGATTCTTTACTCTGTTTGTTCCAGTCTACTCAACTTAAATAAGTACGTGGTTGGGCAGTGCTAGAAATGTAGATTGCTAGCTGTGAGCGCCGAAATGGCAGCACCGACTGTATTCTCCCTAGGGAGTTGAGAAATGGTTGCAAAGGCCCTATAACCTAGGATAATAATTTGTAGACTGCTTTGAGTCGACCTACGAACTCGGTTGTGATAATTTTATATGTAGGTTCCCCTTGGTCCTTAGCTGTGCACGGCAACTTTTGAGACTGATCGGATAAACAACATGGCCGACAGGCAGCCATCTTGGATTTTGATAGTGAAAGTTTGTTATCGCTATTTCTCAAGAAGTACTAGAGGGATCTTTCTCAAATTTTATATGTAGATTTCCCTTGCTCCTAAGCTGTGCAGGACAACTTTTGAGACTGATCGGATAAACAACATGGCCGACAGGCAGCCATCTTGGATTTTGATAGTGAAAGTTTGTTATCGCTTTTTCTCAAGAAGAACCAGAGGGATTTTTCTCAAATTTTATATGTAGGGTCCCCTTGGTCCTTAGCTGTGCAGGGCAACTTTTGAGACTGATCGGATAAACAACATGGCCGACAGGCAGCCATCTTGGATTTTGATAGTGAAAGTTT